CATGTTATGAAAGAGGAACAAGTTTTAACTGACAAGATTGAGAGTGATCTGAAAGTGGATTTAAAAATGATAGGCTACAAGAAGGATATGGAAAAAGATGCTACACTGGACACACAAAAGAAACTGGCTGATATCTTAGTAATTAAAAGGGATATACAAATAACAACCCAAGAGAGTGACCTGGATAATTTTCCTATATTGGATTTACAAAAGAGGTTTGTTAAAGCTTTGAAGAATTTTGTGAGAAGGGATGAAAAAAAAAAAAGCAAGTTCTAAGACATTATTTGAAGGGACTAAAGATCAAGATTTTTAAAAGTAAAAGGAAGGAATATAAAGTTGGTTTATTTGATCAAAGTTAAAATAGACATGTTGTTATCTCTGGTAACCCTTAATGGACTTTTACTGATCAGGACTGAAATAATGAAGCTTTAAGAATTTGTTTATAGATAAGAGATGGGATATGGGAAGAAGAGATCGTTTGCTGTATTTTAAGAGAAGATGATCAGTTACTAAAATTGTTTATACTTGTGATGAAGGGGGAAGTCATTTCTTTATATATTTCTTTTTTTTTCCTGTATTCTTCCTATTTAAAAAAGGAAATCAGCTGGTTTCTAAAACTCAACTTTTAAATGGTCCTCTATTTCATGTTAGTTGTAGATGCTTTCTTACATCTATATAAATAAAATCTACCTTTCTCTAGAAATATAGACACGTGCCAAATATAACCTGATACATTCCAGCAATATAAACTACAGTTTATCACTGGTAATTTACATTCCAAATGTTGGAAAGTGATGTGCAGTTAAATCATTAAAGAATTATTTGATAAATAAATTAGACCACAAGCCTTTTTTTTTTTTTTTTAAGAATTACACAATTGGTTAGAATGCACTTTTCATGTTTTGTAACAGCTGCCCAGAGACTACTTTGGATAATTTGGGCCAACTGCGAAGAAGTAAAGCTGAGACAGCAAATAACCTGGAAGGCAACTGCCCTGAAAAACTGTCCTCTAAATTTGATACATCAAAAGTATCCATCCTTGTGTAATTATTCTACTTATTTCAGATATGTCAAGTAGCTGTAGGAGAGGACAGTTTCCTATCAGTCTATGTAGAATGCAAAGTTCTTTGGGGCAGCTGGAGCAAATGCAGCCCACCCATTTTCTCTCATGCAGGCATGCCAACAGATCTGGGCCTCATTCCTGTCCAACCTGTAAAGGGGTCTCTTTGGAAGCATCTGAATTTAAGCCAGCTGTCTTTCTACTACCTAAACAGAGGCATGTTGAATCCTCATGATAGAATGGTGGTGTGAAGGGGGTGTGTGTGTCTATAAACGAGCTGACAATGTGTCAAAAGGACTCTTCCCTATTTAGTTTATCTCTGCTCTAATTTGTCTCAAATATGAATGAACTTATCTGTTCCTAATCCCAACTAATTCAGTTGGGCTCTTCTTTTAGGGTTTTTTCATTTGATATCAAGGGTTGCCATGAAGATTTGGAATGACTGCTTTAAGCCCCTTTTAATTTCAAGTGGTCAGGGATATCTGCAGGAAAGGGATAAAAAAAATCAAGATGGCAGTCACAACCGTGCAATCGAAGCCGCACCCTTTTTTAACATCCATCGCATGTCAAAAGAGCCGGGGCTTTGATTGCCCTGTTGTGGCTGCCCTCTTGACTTTTTTTTGGCTCCCCTGAGAACATTTCTGAAAGTGATTCTGGAAACTGCTATTTTTAGAATAAGACTAGGATTTCTAACAAAATATGCACACAGCTGTTTCTCTAACAGAACTTTTGATATACTGTACACATCAAGCTACAATTTCTACTTCGAGAGAAATTATGTCTTAGAGTCCACCAGTATATAGTGGAGTATAGAATTACATCCTCCTGTTTAATAATCTCTGTGTTGTAAGACCCATTTATTTGAATGTGAGGCAGATAAAGTGGCCTTCCCTCTCTGTGGTACTAGATCCATATGAAACCATTTCTGGGTGGTTCATCTATTAGTTGAATAGTGCTAATTCTGTCTTGGAGGAGGTTGAATTTCCCCTACAGCTGGGATTGGGAATTTCCAGAGGCTGTTGACTATAATTGCCACTGTCCCTTGCTATTGGACATGGTGGTCCTAAATATTAGGAGTTACAGTTGAACAAGTAGAGAACTACAGGTTCCCTATCCCTGCTGTAAAGTATCAGGTGCATAGCTTAAGGATTTATTATTGGTAGAAACACAATTATTGCTAGTGGCAAGAAGTTCCTATCTTCAGTTCCTGGTGTTCCAAGTAGTTTTACCTTAAGAATTGTAGTTCCATCACAGTTGAAGGATATCAGATTGGGATGGCTGGATTAGCCCATCCCCACTCAGTGCCATAAATGCTTAAACTGGTCTTTGCCAACCTTTCCCTGTGTTGGACCTTCAACTCCCATAGATTCTTAGAGGGCAGTTGTAGCCCAGTATATTCTGAGGGCACCAGGAAGGCTGCCTTAAACTCTTAAGGGGAAAAGCTTAAACTTCTGTTGATTCAACTATAGTAATGGCATTGAGTCAAGGTTATTACTTTTTTTCCCCTGACAGGTTCTTCATCCCTAACAGCTACATAGAGGAGGATAATACACCTCTCTCTGGGCTGGAAGAATAGCTTCAACTGTTTATGACAGAATTTACCATCATTAGCTAATCAGCATCAGCAAAAAACTAAATGAAATGGAGAACAAAACATGTGGGATAAAACCAACCTGGATAGATTCGTCAATTCTCTAAGGAACAAGCAACCGAAGTTTAGAATTTGAAAAGAAATCAGAGACAGACAACTTTTATGCAGTCAAAAGCTGCAAGAATGGAGCAATTAGAAATGATCAATTGTCACAGAAGTGTGTTTTTCCTTCATTTTCCCTTGCACTTAAAAAAACCTTTTATGGTATGTTAAACCTATGGTGACTTAAAACACTCATTTTAAGTACTCTGATTTTAGTATTCTGATATTTAGAATTTCCAGGTGAGGGGCATCAGAGGTCAAAAAAGTCAAGAAGGTGACTGCAACCACTCAATTGAAGCCCCACATCACATGCCTCACATGGCAGGTGTAAAATGGGGCAGCTCTTCAACCCCAGAGTCACAGCCACCATCTACTTCTTATATTTATTTCTTGCTTTTAGAAATACATACAAATCCTTGGATAGCTAGAGAGCAGAAAGAAAAATAATCATGGCAACCATTTTTTAAAAATAGCTCAACTCTTTCTGTGGCAAGCCTGATTTATGAGATAGTGACCTTAAGCATGACATTCTTATTGTCTCCCTTCCCACATTCACAATACTCTTGCAGCTGAGGCAGCATTGAAATGGAAACTCAATATTCTAAAATGGGGCCTCACTCGCTGGCCTCTTTTAGAGACAGAAGCCCTTTGAACCGCTGTAGAATATTAACGAGAGCCCAGCAGCCAAACGTAAGCAAGTGTTCATGCTAAGTCACATAGGCTCCAATGGCCACATGTAGACAGAGTTAATTAGGTATGAAAAGGTTAGGAGAAGCCTTCCAGGATGAATAGAAAAGACATGATCGTTTTATGAGAATGTTTTTTCCCATGTTTCAATTTTGGATACTGTGAAGCACATCCTTGAAAGGGACAGTCCAGTGTTTACAGAAAATGTGGCTCTATTAAACATAGCTTAACGAGCCACGTGCCCCAAACTGCGCTACCTTTTTGAAATCTTGGCTTCACACATAGAAAGTGGACTCTGCCACTTCTTCCTTCCCATGGGACTTGCTTAAAGCAAAATGGTTCATTGCAGAGTGGAATTACAAACAGCCTTGGGTTTGACTAGCCTTGAAAAGAACAAACATGACTTTGTCACTCATCTAGTGCTTTAGCCCCCCCCCCAATGTTTCCTCATCTAATTTTTCAAAGGCTGGAACAGGGTCCTGCAGGGCCTCCAGGTTGGTGTTTAAGCATTAAACCAGTTTGTAGAAAGCAATCTAACTAAAAGGGGAAGCCGTTAGAAGTACATCTGAGCTTCTTGACCTTGACCTGACTTTGACCTGTTTCTTCATGCTGGTTGGGGATGATGGAGCTTATAGTTCAAAATATAAGGGAGTGCCCCAACTGGCAGTGGCTTGACTCAAACCAATTGGTCAAAAAAAATTTTTTGTACATCTTTTCATTGATGGACCTAGTACATATCACATAGGAGCTATGACTGAGTTTTAATGTTAATGGAAAGGAAAAAGGGATTCACCTTTTTGCCCCCCCCCCAATACAATTATTGAGGATCAAAATTCCCAGATTCTTCAGCAAGCATGATAATAATCCCAATGAATTCCACATTTCAAATCACAATTAAAATATTAATAGTCATCAGTTTGGTTGTGTTAATTATTGATACATAAAATTAAAATGGATTGGAATAACAGTTCAGTCTTAGCCAGGTTTATATTGAAGTATATCACTTGAGGCCCTACAGATTGGATGGACTTACTCTGTTCAAATAAAGTTTGTTCCCTTCTATGTTTATCTGGAATTGCAGGTGTTGTAGGAGGAGATCTGTGTTAGTCTATGGTAGCAAAAAATCAGGAGGAGTCTGGTAACATCTTTTCAGAGTAACCAATTCATTAAAAGGCATAAGTTTTTGTAAACTACAGCTTGCTTCATCAAATGCATGTATCTGATGAAGTGAGCTGTAGCTCACAAAAGCTTATGCCTTTCTGATTCTTGTACATGATGGAAAGCTTTATTTCTGGCACCAGTCCAATAACAGAAAATAGCAGACTTTCCAGGTCTCAGAAATTATAAAAACTTTGGCTATCAAAGAGAAAGGTACAATATCTGCCCAACTGTACAATATTTACCATCATTATTTTCAAGGGCATTTCAAAAGGCTAAATCAATTTAAACTCTTAAACTTTGGACTGGACTCATATTTAGAGTGGACCTATTCAAATCAATAAGATTTGTTAATCATGATTAATACCTCATGAATTTCAATGAGTCTAATGTTAAGTACATCTGAGCCTGGCTTTACCTATTGCTAAGATCCTATCCTTTTCAGTCATGATCTAATCCATATTGTCAAATCTTCCAGATTTAGCTGTGCTACTCTTTCCAAAATTTAGGTAAGAAACATGCATGATCTTTCCATGATGTTTTAAAAGGATAATTCTAGATAGGCCATTTCTTTGCTGGCCTAAAGAACAAAATGTACAGAATATAAATATATACTACCTTGTGATAGTCAACACATACATACTATCTTTAATTACATAGTAGAACAGCTACCAGCCCATCCAGCTCCCCAGCATGTTGTACTCTTTGCCTCATTGTTTGGGGGTCTTTTTCACAAGAAAAGATGGTGAGCACAAATATTGAGTGGAGCGTGCAGTGGCTCTCCCTCCTTTCTGGGACTGCCCCCCCCCGCCCCCACCAAGAGGTTGCTGCTGAAGGCAGAAAATAAAAAGAAAGCCTCCCGCACTTTTATTGGAAAGCAGGTCTGGCAACCATCGTTCAGTAAACCTCCTTTCCACTTATTTTGTCTGTAATATGACAGATCTGTCTAGTAGGAAACATCAATTTCAGTTACGCCATGGCTCTGCTACGTAGCCAGAGCACATGCTGGCCTGTGTTCTAGGAAGATGACCTCATGCCTGAAACAGGAGATCACGGTTAGTAGATGGAGCCAAAGGAGGGCAAATTAAAGTCCTGGGAAAGGTAAGAAGAGAAAGACATACGGATAAATAGAGAAAGCAATCTCAGATGATCCGAGTCTACTGCTTTACTAATTTGTCTATCGGCTATTGTGAAAAAAGAGCAGGAAGACTATAGGAAAAACGAAACAAACAGGAAGCTGTTTGATACTAAGCATGTTCATTAATCCATTTAACTCAGTATTATCTCCATTGACTGGCAGAGATTCCTCAGGTGTTTTTCTCAACCCCACCTGCAAAAGTTTGGGACTGGAATTACTTTAGTTTCACCAAATACAGATCTGTTAAAAAAAAAAAAAAAAGACTACTAAGATCTTAAAAAAGATTTTGCAACAGATCTATGGTGGGGTAGGACTTCGGTCACAGATGCCATCTTGATTTTTTTTTGACACCCCCCCCCAGCTTCCCTGAAAGTTTTACCTTCTTTTAAATCCTACTGCCTTTTAGAGTTCTCCTTTGTTTTTAGGATTGATTGATTGATTAAATGTATATGCCGTGTATATGCCACTACATTTATTGCCATGTGCATTCGATAGAATAACATGTATTCACTGTTCTTTTAAGAACCAAAAAGCCCAGATTTTGAGTTGCCCCCAGAAGTATGCATAAATAAGATTTATTTATACCTATTCACATACAAGCTGCCTTTAATTCATCAAATACCACCTCCAACAACTTTAACTGCGTTATTCTGTGTTTCAGGATGATCACACTAAAGCCATATTTATAACAGGGTCTAAAACAACAGAAATATTAAAGTCTGAAAACAACGTATTTCAAATTCTGCCTTCTTCGGCTGCTTGGATGTGACTCACAAGATCCTGTAACTGAGATCAGAAATATAAAGCATTGAAGATGGAAAATATAGACCTGACACCTTAACAGGCCTGAGTCTGAAGGATAATGCTTGACATCACTTATCTTCAGCGCAGCAGATGCTACTTTTTGAGATATTCCATCTCCACTCTTCTAGGATAAAAGGCCTTTGATTCGGGAGGAGGGAGAGGAGGCAGGTGCAGCAGAGTGGGCTAACCCAGGGGAAGTTCCTCCTCTCTATTTTAACACCTGTCTTTTTCTGTTTAGTCTGCTTCATGAACACATATACAGATGTAGCTGAAATGAAATGCACCAACAGTGCTAGCTAGGATCTTTGGCTGCCAGAATTATCCATTAAAAGCTGCTTTGGGTCAACACCAGATTAGCTGTTATTCCTGCGTGTCATTTCTGACATTATTGCAGTTCACTAGAGCCCCCCATTTAAAATTCTAAAATCTACGCGCACTCTCTCTCTCTCTCTCTCTGTCTCTCATCGAGGGCCAGGATCTGTAGAAATACCTTCACCTTGATCTCTCTTGAGCCACTGAATGGAAAGAATTGTCTCTCCTTCTCTGAATTTGGCTTGAACGTGATTTGTAAAAGCCGTATCAGGCTTGCGCACTGTAAACACACAATCATTCATTCTCTCTTTCCCCAATTTTATCATCAAAAACTTGTGACATAGAATAAAAGTTTTATTTTAGTTTTAAAGAACAAAAATTCAGAACTTTGACAACAAAAAGAGAATAAGAATACAAAGCTAAAAGCCAGGAAAAATATAATAGTTGAGAACAGATGTACATGTGGTCTTGGGATTAGAAACAATTTAATCATTATATTTTGTTGATTCAAAATGACATTTAAACCTCCAGCAGTAATCTTATAGGGAAAACACTATTAATATTGTGATAATATTTTATTATATTTAACTTTCATTGAAGGATGTTCATTATTTTATTGTTGTGTGAATTTTTCTGCCAACAGAAAACAATTTTTGCACACTTTTGAATACCACTGATTTAGTGAAAGATGAACTTTGTATTTCCAGTGTTTTCCACAACAACCCAACAGCTAATAGCAAGAACTGAATCAATTTCTTGTGTTACATCCCATTTATTAGGGAGTCTGAATCACTGAGAAAGATTGTTGGGCAATCTTTTAATTTCTTCAAAATCTTTCCACTTAAAACACTGCCCTTCTGAGCTTTGCCACCAAAGTTGGTAATATGTACCAATTTGTTTATACCTCCCACTAACACAATCTAGAAAGGTTCCAGTTAATTTTAATTGAACATAATGCCGTCTATGAATTATTCTTCATAGTTAATTCTTGATGACTTGCTGAAATAGTTCTAAAAGAAATTCAATTGCTCATAAAGTTGCAATAAGATTCATGAAGATCAAAACCCAGATCATCCTTCCAGAAATGTTTAAGATTTTCAAGGGACCCTCTTGTTTTGTAAAACCTTTATGAGATTCCTTTTCTATTTAAAAAAATAGACATATACTGTTCTCCAAATATTTCTAGTGGACTTACTCAATTACCTACATATTTTATGAAAAATTATTTAATTTGACTCATTTAACAGCACTGTTGGTAAATTCAACTATTCCTTTTGCCAAATCTACTCATTAGTCAAAAGATCGGCATTATTAAATCTTAACTCTATAAAATATTATATGTTCCCATTCCATGATTTTTAGCAATTTATAAACATGAAGCTTATAAACTATCAGATCAAAGGGTATAAATTTGGAGCCAAACATTGTCTTAATTTTTTCCAACCCCTAGAGTGAGTTTTAAATATGGATTTGAGATGGCAAAAATTAATTTCTTATTGTCAGGAAGAAACAGATGTATTCAGAAAGCTAACAAACCTGGATTGGAGATTGATAGTCCCTTCCACTGTTTCTCTGTTGCATCTGGTATATTTCAATATACACTCTAACCACAATAACACAATGGCCTGCACTGATTTTTCCCTCATCCTGCAATCCCCTATATTATCATCAAGTCTGCTTTATTGGTTTGGGGAACTTTTGGAAATGTGTGAAGATGATAGTAAGATATACTTTTCCACTGGGGGAGCTTTCTGAGTGGAATTGTAATAAGAAAATATTCCTGGCTAGTGGAAAATAAATGGGATCCAAGCCAGCCAGCAAAGGACTGCGTCAGCCACATTTGATGACCAAACAACATAAATCAGGGATGCTCCATAAAAGGATTGAATTCTAAACAAAAAGACACATATGGAAACAGTGTGTTCAGCACCCATCAATAAACATAAAATCAGAAACACACAGGCAGCATTTGGCCTCTTTTCAGAGGCAAGGCAAAAGTTCTAAAAGATGTGGTTTGAGACTAAAATGTATTTTTAAAGCTTTGAGTACTGTACATTTCCACTACTGCATCCTTACCCACCCTTTTAGTTCTTCCATTCTCTACTAAACTCATTCTTCACTGCCTCAATCTGACTATAAAAAAAAAAAAAAAGCTTGACTCCTGGTGACATCAAGCATCAAGGGGGCTTTCTTGGCAACAGTGGTTTGCCATTGCCCTTTTCCATGATGCAATTTTTAAAATATCCATTGAAAACCTTCTCCTGGAGGTCAGAATTTTCTCAGAAAGATATAATTAATCCCCCAAAGTCAATATGTACAACTTTTGTTTATTTGCATAATTTATTCTGGGGCCAGAACTGAAACTGTGGACCCGAGGATTGAATCTATATGCCTTCAAAAATGCACAAGCTTGAGTCTTGTTGGCTTTCAATTCATACAATTCTTGACAAAGCACAAAATCATTAAAGCTGAAGATATGGGAGTTATTCCATCAGTCTATAATTTCTTCAGTTTATCAGTCTGAGAGACACTTAGTAAGTGACAGAATTATCAGACAATTGGTTTAATAACCTAATAATTGTTCTTAGCATTTTATGCAAAGCAAGGGTTACATCTTGTGATCCCTCTAACAGTTCCAATTGAAATATAATTTTTAATGTGACCAAAGGGGAAATTATTAGGAAATACAGGGGAAATAAATATATTAACTGTGTTTTATTTATCTACATAAAATTTAAGTTCAGTGACTTGACTCAACCCCTGCCCACTTTTTTTAGAGCACAGCCCAGGCAGGCCATTAAGTGTGGCTCACAGCAGGGGCATCCACAGAGAGGCTCAAAAAAGTCAAAATGGCAGGTGTGACTGCACAGTCAAAGCCTCGGCCCTTAACGTGCATCACACATGCATAAAAAGCAATGGGATTTTGACTGCATGGTCACGCCTGCTGTCTTGATACTTTATGACACCCCTCAATGCCCCTGGCTCAGCCTGAACCAGATTATGTGCTCCTGGAATGCTGCATTTTACAAAACCAGCAAGCACCATCCATATTATCTTAATAAGGTATTGTTAGGTAGGTCTGTGTGTTCATCCCATTGATCCAGGAGGAAAAAAAAAAAGGGAAGAGTGACTAGTCTAAAGGCTCCTCGGTGAGCATATACAGATTTCCTTCCACTTCTTTAGGTCTGTTTCTAGATTGTTGGCTCTTTGGAGCAAGGATTTGCCCTCTTATTGTATAAGCAGCCCATCTACATGGATGATGCTATATAACAATAATACAAAAAGCAGACCCAGGGACTTCTTCATTCCCAGCTCAGTCTTTCAGTCACAGCACTGTACTAGCTCATCATGGCTTCAGCTTGAGTGGGGATCTGATTTTCATCAAGTTACATAAGATAATGACAGAGCTATAAAGTATCTAAGACTACAGTGGGAAATAGTCTAAATGCAAATCACCTTTTCCCATATTTAATCTCAATAATTCTGCATCGAGAGGTTAAAAAAGATCCAATCATCCAGCCAGAGAATTTCTTCTTCATTGGATAAAGCTGGCTTTTTCTACTTTGTCTACAAACTGTAGGATGTCTGCTGCAAGGATCTCTGGTTCCTCAAAAGCTGCAAAATGACCACCTCGAGGCATGAAGTTGTATGAAACAATGTTAACATACTTCTGTTGAGCCCATGACCGAGGAATGTGAAAGAGTTCATTGGGAAATACGGCAATTCCTGTGGGAACTTCCACAGGGAACCTGCAAGGCAATGAAGAAATTGAACAGTGAAAGGCTACTATTTTCCCAACAATATCACTTTCTTTTAATTGAGCCATAAGCAAAAGACAGAAAGAGAGACAGAGAATATAATCTTGTCTGCACAAAGGCAACTGAACTGAAATCAGTAGAACTTATTTTGGGGAATGTGCCTGAGGATCAAGAGTGGGCAGCGCAAAGGTGAGTAAACTGCAGTCCTCTAGATATTGTTGGATCTCAGTCCTGATCATGCTGCAAGATGGAATTTGGAATTTATCATCATCATCATCATCATCATCATCATCATCATCATCATCAATCTGATTTGTACTTATTATTTATTTAGCAAATTTATATAGCCACCCATCTCACGAAATGTGATTCTGGGCGGTGTATATTGTTATTATAACAATAAAAATCATAAAATAAACATAAATGAAAGAAAAAAAATAAAAAACAAGATTGTGGGAGAACAACCATCACTTGATATGGCTTGACATCACTTTCAGGCTCACCTTGGGATCCCCAAGATTGATGGAAAAATCGTGTTTTTGGAAGGCAGGCAGGGAGCAGGGGCCACAGCAGAAAATGCACACTGTCTGGGCCCCACCAGATGGAGATCCTTAGCAGATGGGACCTGCAGCATACCCCTTCTGCTCAACCTGATGGGAAGGGTAGATGTGATTGGGAAGAGGTGGTCCCATGCCATGTAGGGCTTTAAAAGTCAAAAACAGCACCTTGAATTGCACCTGGAAGCAAACTGGCAGCCAATGCAGCTCATGAAACAGAGGTGTTACATACACCATCCTAGGGGCACACATAACTGTTTGCACAGCTGCATTCTGTACCAGTTGCAGCTTCCAGATACTCTTCAAGGGCATGTAGAGCACATTACAGTAATCCATTCTGGAGGTGACCAGGGCATGAGTAACTGTAAGTACAACCTTATGGTCCAGAAAGGGGCGCAAGTGGCATACAATATGAAGTTGTGCAAAGGCCCTCCTAGCCACGACTGCCACCTGCTCCTCGAGTGGGAGTTGTAAGCCTAGAAGAACCCCCATATTGTGTACTAGGTCTGTCTAGGGCAGTCCCACCCCATCCAGTACCAAAGATGATAAAGTCCCAGATCCAGAAGGCCCCAAAACCCAGAGCCACTCAGTCTTGCCAGGATTCAGCTGAAGCCTGTTGTTCCCCATCCAGATCCCCACAGCCTCCAGGCACTGGGACGAGCATCAACAGCATCGCTTAGTTCACCAGGTGCAGAGATACATAGCATACTGATGATACCTCACCCCATAGCAATGAATGATTTCACCCAGTGGCTTCATGTAGATGTTAAATAGGAGTGGAGAGAATATTGAACCCTGCAGAACTCCACATAGAAGCAGTCGAGGGTGAGACCTTTCATTCCCAATCAATACAGACTGGTATCAGCCCTGCAGAAAGGAAGCAGCTTATGGGTGCTGCCCACCCCCAACCCATGGAGCCAATCCAGCAGGATACCATGGTTGCTAGTATCAAAGGCCGCTGAGAGGTCAAGAAGTGCAAGGACAGATGCACCACTCCTGTCCTGCTCCCGCCAGAGATCATCCAAAAGTGCGACCAATGCTGTCTCTGTCCCATGTTCAGGCCTGAATCCTGACTGAAAGGGATCCAGATAATCCACTTCATCCAGGGCCTGCTGAAGCTGCTGTGCAACCCCCTTCTCCACAACTTTCCCTAAAAAAGGGAGATTAGACACCGGATGTAAGTTATCCGGTACGGTAGGATCCAGCAATGGCTTCTTGAGGAGGGAGCAAACCAATGCCTCCTTAAGAAGAATTAACAACTACTAGGATCCAATCACACAACACCCCCTGGGCAGCCTTAATTAGCCAGGAGGGGCATGGATCTAGGGAGCAGGTGGCTGAGTTCACAGTCATTAGGACCCTGTCCACTTCCTCAGGCCCAACAGGATCAAACTGTTCCCAGATAACAGAGCAAGACTGTACCCTAGGCACCTCCACTGGACCTGTATCAAAGCTGGTGTCTAACTTGGAATGAATGTCCACTTCCTCAGGCCCAACAGGATCAAACTGTTCCCAGATAACAGAGCAAGACTGTACCCTAGGCACCTCCACTGGACCTGTATCAAAGCTGGTGTCTAACTTGGAATGAATCCAAGCTATTTTGACAGATGCTCTGCAAATTCATCCGCATGGCCTTGAGAGAAACCTCCTCCTTTCCCAAGAGGGCTCGTGTTACCTTAAACAAGGCTGCCGGATGGCTATCTGTGGATGCAATAAGGCCAGAGAAGTATTGTTGTTTCATGTAAGAACCGCAGTACTCAGTTCCCAATGAAAGCAACTCTCATTGAAACCAGTGTAGGTCAAAGGAAAGTTCATTTATTGGAAAGTAGTGAACAGCTCTAGAAGCATAGCTGGAACTGAGTCCCACGTGCGCCAAAACTTAGTTTTACCTCACTCCCATTTCACTCCCCCCTTCTGTCTTTGAATCTCTCTTGCGCATGTCAAAGATTCTCTCTGGTTCTCACGTTGGTACAACCTTGGGCATTCCTGACAGCCAGATAATAGTCCATCTGTGCCTAACGGTTAACCTTCCAACCTTCCCTCCCTTCCTCCCCTTCACTGTAATGGCAGAAACAAAGCAAGCGAACTAGCAGTGCACGTGATTGATTGCAAGGATTCTGACTCTTCGCCACCCTTACTGCCATGAGGTAGGCCTTAATAGTGGCTCTCACCCATGTTCAACCAAGTTTGTCCCTCAAAGATCTCCAGCAGTGCTCTAGACACCTCTTCTCCTGTTTCATCTCCCTGAGCACTTCGGTAAACTACGAGGAGCAATGGGATCCCTGAGACATGAGAGGTTGCATGGGCACAATATGATCCAAAGCCTCAGCTGCCCTCTCATTCCAAGTGATGGCCAAGGACTTGGACCACGCAGAGATCATCAGGAATAACCACCAGCTCCCACAATATGGCTGCCAGTGTCATCTAAGTGACTCAGGGTAGCTCACAACAGGTAAAAAACAATCCAATAAAAAGTTAAAAAAACAATATACAAAAATATTTAAAAATATCCATAATCAATTTAAAACAGAAAATCATGATCAGCAGCAGAATTTGTCCTACATCAGCTCAACACAGCCATTGTAAGAGCTCCCCACCACTGCCAGGTCCCCAGGCACTTTGCCAATCCATGATGTATGCAGTGCTAAGCAACTTTGTGACCTCCAGATGTTTTGGATACAGCTCCTATAATCCTTTGCCACTGAAGGGACTTCTGGGGAGGAATGGTGAACTGGCACATCTCCAGATGAGTAGAGATGACGACTGCAGCAAAGACTGAACAAATGGTGAGTAGATCGGTCCTATGGAACCTCTCCGGATAAGGAGAGGATAGGAGATTACCCACATGTGCTCCAGATAGCTGCTCCTCATGAGGAGACTGCAGGACAGCAGTTTTTTGCAGGTCTGAGTGCTGGGAGATGAAGGGAACAGCCATCATGCTTTCAACCATGGCGGAGCCTTTTAAAGGACACTAGGTTCTCTAACCTCTCTTTGGTTAGGCCTTGAAAATTAAAGTGGAAATACAAATGATAAACCAAGAGAATGACCTGGATAATGACTTTTTATTGGATTTACAAAAAAGATTTCCCAAAGCCTCGAAGAAGCCTTTGGGGTGGGAAAAAGAAAAACTGAAGAGAGATTAAATCCTATGACAACATCTGAATGACAAGATCAAGATTGTTAGAAGTAAAAGAAAGGAATATAAAGTTGGTTTGGTTGACCAAGGTTAAAATAAGACATGTTTTTATAAAGTTCTGGTAACCTTTATGGACTTTTTGCTGACACCAGGACTGAAAATTTGATGATTTATGGATTTGCATATGGATAAGGGATGGGTTATGGGAAGAAGAGATATTTGTTTGTAACCTTATAGGAGGTGAAGTTTGTTTATACTTGTGATGAAGATCAGAAGTCACTTCTTTCAATATTTTTCTTTTTTTTTCTTTCCTTTCCTTTCCTTGCATCTTTTATTCTTTCTTCCTATCTCTCTTTTTGCCTCTGAGTTTACTTTGTATTAGCTTTTAACTATTGTAAAAATTTTCAATAAAAAATTATTTTTAAAAAATCCTTTGCCATTAGGTGCACTAGCTCAGGCTGATGGGAGTTCAAGTATTTTTGAAGGCACCAGTTTGCCTCCTCCTAGATACATAGTTTGAAAGAGAGATGGAGATTGTAAAAGAAGATCTTGTAATGTACAAAAAGTCTGCGTTTACATTTACCTCCTCTTTCAAATTGTAAGACTTTCTTACTTGCTAAAAAAAAGTTGTTTTTTTTCAGAAAAAAATATGTTCAATTGTGAAGAAATAATGACCATTAACTGAAAGTTTTAAACATGTTTATGTAAAAAAGACATGTTAGGTCACAGCTTCTTTTTTTAGGCCAGCTACAAAGCAACATGAGACCTGTAGTTTGCAGGTAAACCAATGTGTTAACAGTATGGTCACTGAAGTTTAATATATGCATCAGAAAAAGACTATAAGAAGCGCCCTTCTGATCAAGCCAGTGAGTCACATAGTCTAGTATTCTGTATTACAGATAGCCAACTAGATGCATTTAGGAAGCTAAGAAATATGGACTAGAGAGTGATAGTCCTCTTCTATTGTTTCTCCCAAGCATACTTAGTTAAGGTATGCTCTTGTGATTCAGGAAATAGTAAACAGTAATCATGACTATTAATCATGATTAATTAGTCAATCCAGTAGTCCAATTCTCCCTAAATCTATTCATTCATCTTCTAAAACCATCTAAACTGGTGGTGACCACAGCCACATTTAATGGCAGCAAATTCCATAGTTTAAGTGACATTTAAAGAAGAATCTCCTTTTATTGGTCCTGAAAATCCTCACCATATAATATTAGAGGATCACCCAGAGTTCCATCACATTTCAACAACCCCCGTCTGTCCCCCAAGTTAAAGAGGCCTAGGGATCCTCACAGGGGAGCTGCCCTAGTTCCCTATTAATTTTGGTTGTCTTTTTGTTGTATCCTTTCCAGCTCTACAATAGCCTTTTTCAGGTTTGGTGACAGAATTGAAGACAAAATTGCAAGTGTGATACCATAAGTTTATATAAGGAAATGACTACATTGGGAGTTTTATTCTCAATTCTCTTCCTAGTGATCAAGTGCATGGAATTTGCCTATTTTTAAAGCAACTGCACACTGGGTTTGTAAATTAAACTAAACCTTTCGTCTACATTTCACAAATTAAGCTGAAGATTGGGATATACCTCTAAACATAGGCTGTATTTTAAATATTAAATGAGCTTGAGAGCAAAGTAGTTCTGAGAACCTCAGTTATTATAGCAAAGAGTTTTTTAGAATAGCTTCATATAGTCACACAAATGGTAGATGGCAAATATATGGGAGAGGAACAGACTTCAGACATTGTACAGTAAGCTGGCTAAATTAGGGATGCCTGCTCTAGAGCAAGAACTCCAAAATAGAAATAGGGGAATCACTTACTTTTCATGCTTCTCTGTGCCGATACCCTTCCCAAAAACTTCTTTGTATAAGCGCACTGAAGAAACCACGCAACCCGAAGCCCAATAGATCATGATATTTGTGAGAAGGTCATCCAGAGTGAACTTCCTGAAAAAATACAATTGACATATTGCAGTTCATCTCTTTTCACAAGTTGTAGCTAGTGCAGATTGCAAGAAATTTGGGCCAGTTGCCTTCTGACCCGACCCCGACTCATAATAATGGGCTTTATCCTCTTGGATTTTGCCCAGTCCTTTCAGGCAGCACCGTTGATACTTCTCTTCCCCTCCCCGCATCCAAAGCACCCACTATCCATGGTGGTCTTTCCCAACTGCTATATTCTAGAGGTATTAAGATTTCAGCTCCCATAATTTCAAGCCAATATACTGAGAGCTGAAGTCCAAGATCACCCCCAGTTGGGGTTGGCTAGGTAAATGAAAAATATGAAAATGAACGCTGCTGAGGATCTCTATCTCCTAAATACGCTAAGGCTGCTTTCATGTCTCTGGGATCTTTGGGGGGCTTGTTGCCTTTTACATTAGCACAGCAGCTGTGTACAATGGGAAAGCCCTCTTCAACTTCCCACCTGGGTGTTACATTTATCTTGCTTGCAAATTTTGTCACTTCATTTAATTGCAGTCTTTAAAAATTCTCTTCCCTGAGGGAGTAACCAAACCGTGCTGTTCTTGAGACTTCCTTGCTCAGCTAACCAGGCTATTAAAGCTCGACAGAGACAGTGCTTGGGTGCCGAGTGGTTTCTAGAGATCAGATGAAATCAAATCAGAATGCTCCAGAGCCCTGATTAAAAATATGATATGGTTAAGCCCTCAGGCGGAATGGCACTTGTTTGTCCTCTGACAGCTTCATATTCCAATTTCCTACTTGATGTTACAGACCTATAAGTATTCCTTTAGATGGGCAGGAACATCCCATCATCCATAGTTAAGACCACCAATTGGCAACTAGCTGTTGTAGTCCAACACATCTATGGAGCCCTGGACTAGAAAAGGCTGCTATGCAAACCTATCTAGGAGTAAATCCCACTGATCTTACTTCAGATGTAGATACGCATAGCATTTAGTATAAAGGAAATGAGGGAGGGCAGAAATGCCACTTACAATGACTTTGACAATCACATTATTCTTTTTGGCTGTGATTTGCAACATCATCTTAGTCATTGCTGTCTTCTCCCCAGAACGATAAGAGCAAACTAGCAGTTTGTGACATTTATTATTCATGGACTGAAATCTCACCATACGCAATCAATAATATATTAGCTAAGGAGACGACAAAAACGTGAGCAATTGCTGCCCATAAATGCTGCATCTGTCATTCGCTGCAAGGTAGATGCTCTCAAGTATTTCTGAACTATACTCACTTTTAATAAACACCCTCATAAACCTCATCCCCAAATGCACCATTGCTTTCAGGGCAAACTGCAAGCTATTACCATCCCAACCATTTTTTAAAAGATTAATATTTTATTAAAGTGAAATCATAAGAACTTATTGAAATCAATAAGAAATTGTTCAGACAAACTATTTGTTGGCATCCAAAGTGAGCTTGACCCTTTAGGATCAGGGAACATAACCTACACTCTAGGGGTAAACCTATGATTCTCTCAAGATTTTTTGTGCAGCTTTTCCACTCTCAGCTGAACTTTTCCGTTGTAGATGTGCATAGCATTTAGTATAAAGTCCTACCCTCAGATGAACTTTTTTCTTTAAAGAAGTTTAATTTAATTCTAATACTAGTTGTTGCAAAACGCAGGTCAGAGGGTACTAATGGATTCATGCCCTTTCTGGGGGCATATGGTTGACCAGAGTAGAATGGAATGCTAGTTTATATGGACCTATAGTCTGATATACCACAGATCCTATTATCTCAATTACCTTATTTTGTTAAAGCCCTGTTTAAAAATTATCACAGATCCTTCTCCTTTTGCAAGAGGACTTAAGCGGGGAGATTCCAAGAGGATTCTATGCAATTTACACGATCTATTGCTAAACCAAACCTTCAGCTGTCTACCTCACAATGCCATAGTATTAGCTCTGTAACTTGCAAGGAAGTAGAACAGCTTCATAGTAGGGATGAGCAATCTGTAGCTGGCCCTGAGACAATCAATGTCCCTTGTTGAATTTCATGGGGCCATCAACCTGGAAGCTGCTGAAGCAATATTTCCTATTCATTCATTATTTATAATTAACCATATTTTAAACATTAGCCAAGTAGGGCAAGGACAATGTACATGGATATCTCATGGCTATCCTTGACTCCACAGTTTATGCCTGAGGAAAGGTGCCCCACAAGTGAAAAATAGATTTTGTATACTGGAAGAGCCAAGTTCAACTTAAATCTTTTATCATCTGGAGGACTGCAAGAGAACTAAGAACACATGAGAACCAAGTATTTCTGTTCTCCAGAAGTTCTTGTTTCCAGTTCAATAAAACTACAGTTCATCAGCAGGACTCATTGCATGATTAGTCCCACGTGTAGCACTGTGTTGCTGCTAAGCCACCAGTGTTTAAACATGTGAACACACAGCAGGACAGCATAAAATAAATAGATACTATATAATTTGGAACAATTGAAGTCAACTGGGGGTGGGGTAGTAAATAACACCCACTTTTCTAGTCCTCCATCTTCTAGATTTTGAAAACTGGGATCAGTCCATGTAGAAAACTTATCCAAAATGTATGCAGCCAATCCCACAGGAGAATCATTCAAGGCACAGCCTAGAATAAAAAGAAAATGGTGAGTTTCAACTTAGATACCTCTCAGATGCCACTTTTTCCTGATATACAGTACATAACAAAGCACTGTCTCCAGATGCCATTTAATAAAGAGATACCTGACAAGTAACATTATGGGAGAAAGAGCATAGGTCAAATATTCCAAAAGAATTAGGATATTGCATACTGTTAACCAACATTAACAGCTCAACATTTTATACAATGTTGTAATAAAGGGAACGCCAGAAGTTTAAGAGTGTTCCTTGCAGCCCACTTGCATCATGCCAACTATGAAGGGGAGTGGGCTAAGTCAAAATTTATCCTTGCCTACCTGCTAGCTTTCCCCTGAAGGCAGAACCACTACCATAAGGAAAAGAAGCTCATTGTGAAGCTTGAGACCATGGTTTCATCAACAGGCCATCTGTTTCAAATAATGCTTTAACTGGATGGATGGCAGTGCTTCTACTCATAAATATTAGCACAGGGCCCACAACTCATGACCCGCTAACCACAGGAAGCCCCTTTGGTTATCCTCATAGCTCAATGACCACTGGAGACCCCCCCCCAACCCCTTTTGTGGAATCCTTAGAGCAGGTTCATCTATGGAGAAGGTCAAAACAATCAAGATAGCAGATACAACAATGCATTTGAAGCCCTGCCTCTGCATGTAAAAATGGACAGGGCTTTGATTACACCATTACAGATACCATTATAACGTTTTTGATCACCCCTAGCAATCATCCATGCCTTAGAGCCCCCAAGATTGCATTTCTTTAATTTGATGGCAAATCTCTGAATTAAAACAGTGCAATTTTCCAGTTTGTTAAAAATGTTAAAATAGGCTTAAGACATCTACTTTACTATTTTATTTAAACCCTTAAAAAGGGGGACGGGGGGGGGGCAGAAAATTCTTCCTGACCATTCAGGAAATGAGGCTACATGAACAGCACATCTCTGCAGCTCTTGGTACCTTTTATGGGTCTCAATCTCTATATACCCATACACACACACACAAAAGTGTAGCCTCTTGCCCTCCAAAATGCTATGTTCTTCTATTCTGACATCTCTCTTCCTCCACTTCAGCATCTTCCAAATTCAGATGCAACCCCAACAATCATAAGGCTCAAGACACCAAATAAAAAAATACATCACAGTTAGTTTGCCCAGTAGCCTAGTGAAATGTATCAGGTTTTCCTCAGGATCATTTCTGTGCTCAGTTCTACAAGCTTCTGTACTAGTTAGGGTCCTGAGAAATCTCAGGGTAGATAACCTATTAGCACATTAGCAAATATAACAGTGCACAAGCCAAATCCTCTTTCGTTTTCTAAAGAGTCAGAGCCAAGAGTCAAAGATGTGGCCCAAAAACGGTAGTGGTTCCTCATAGAAAGAAATGAATTCAAGCAACTTATTACAAAAAGATGTTGAGATAACCAAGCATCATAGAAGAGTGTTAGCATGATACCGGATGAACTTCAGAGGCTTTAACTTGAAGACAAAGTAAGGAGTAGGAAAAATTGGTTAACTGAACCCACAGAAATTAATCTGACAATATCTAGAGGAGGTCAGGCTATAAGCTGACATTTTTCATTTCATGCTATGAATGTGCACACCATTGTCAGCTTCATGCATAGCTAGGCAAAAGCCCACTATGAATTGCATGTATCGAGGTAGAAACACAGGCAGCTGAATTTGGAAAGGCAAAAATAGGAGAAACAGTAATTATCAAGCTAGGCCAGCCATATCCTTTGCTAGGAAAAGTACTTGTTTAATGGCCCAGAAAGTTCATGAATCATCTCTCTGTATGGAGACTGACTGCTAGAGGATGGTTTGTCTGGTATGTGAGAGGCATTTGAGAAATGTAACTCATCGTCCTCTCTACTATCAGCCCATGAGTATGACCATATTTATGCATGTCTGGACATATCAGAGAAAGAGAGAAATGATGATCTGGAGAGAAACAAAGGCACCCCCCCCCCAGGGATGTGCAGATGTGTGCTGGTCCCCTCATGTTTCTTTATTTCACTGATTTTGTAATCAGCCCCAATCTTCAGACTCCGGGCAGCATACAACAGAATAAAAATACAGAATAAAAGCAGGCAGACATTACAATGAATAGAGATCTCCCATCTGGTTAAAAGCACAGTGAACCAGTGTTGCTTCAACAGCTTTATGCAATGCCAGGAGGAAAGGGACTGATCGTACAGGGCCACATAGGACTTTTGCTTCTTATCAATGCTTAAGTTATGAGCCTTCACCTTTGCTCTATTTGCATATTTGGAAATAAATCAAAGATTGCAAGAAACTTTTCAGACTCCAGGGCTACTACTTCTCTACAAGGAAACCAAATCCAAATAACTCTTTTCTTGAGGCTTCTTGCTGCTTAGGAAAACATACAGGCAACATAATAACATCAAGTCTCCTTCTGAGTCAAGTTTGACTCTTGGCAAATATGCGGAAATGATTTTCTGTTTTCTCCTGCTGAGTTTTTTTAACTTCTCAGTCTAGACTACACACCTGGGATTTCCTAGTGACCTCTCACCTACTTTCTAACCAGGCCTGACCCTTCTCAGCTTTTTGGTTCAACCAAGGTTGGCTAGATCAGATGTGCCACCTGACTGTAACTGCAAAAACCACAGTGCATTCACTGATCCTAGAAAGGCTTTTTATTTGCGAGAACAAGCACACACAATGCACAAAGTGAAAGCTTCCCTCACCCACAGTGTCCGGCTTTGTAGCTTGAATGTGAACGTAGCCGCTCTCCCGCAGAAGCTTGCAGAGCACCTTTTCTTTGAAAGGAAAGATCAGTTGGACATCTTCTGCCTGGAAACCAAACAGTCCTGGGAAATATTGTCCCAACAGAATGGAGAGAAGCTGCTTGAAGCCGATAGTGGTCAGTACTACTATATTTAAGTGGATGCCTTTCACATGGCTGAAACAATTGTTTAAAAAGAAGTCAGGTACCTTAACAATAACACTGTGATTTGTTCAAATCCACACATTTATCTCTTACTACTCAGAGCTCAAATGGCACACTTTATTCTTTGGGATATAAAATGGAAAATAAATCTGCCACATCTGAAGTTCTGGGGACACACTCACGAGGCTCTCAGCCATCCTCCTTAAGAGTGGTACCTCCAAATATGATAAGTTACAAGATCTATCATCCCTACACAGTATGATCACCAGCTGAAGAAGATGGCACTTGTAATTCAATAGCTTCAAATGATGGCTTGGAAAGGCTAGTTCAGTTTAAGGAATCAGATGCGCAGTTTCACTGGCAGGCCATTATTATTCTCAGTAATTCTTTTCCCCAGACCACGTCCATTGATAGGTCATCGTCTCTATGGCCAACTCCTCCCTTCAATCAAAAGTACATTCCAGAGGAAGGAGGCTCTCTTACTCTGCAGGGACCCCTCTTGATCTCCCAGTTGTGTACTAGAGGGCTAAGCTGGGGATGAGATAAGAAGCCCCATGGACATTTGCTTGCTTCTGTTTCTGTTCCCATGATTGACCACATCCCTCCAATGCAACATCTCACAAACTCTATCCTCTGTATGCTCCTGGGTTTATACAACCATCTGACAGTTAATGTTTTCAGAAGTCAGCATTAACAAGGTATAGTGGGTACCTTTTTAAGGGATATTAAACATACAGTGCCAGTAGATACCTATCCAAGCTCATAAAGGAACAGAAGACAATAAAGGAACAACTATTTGGGGGAGATGGGCAGCACATAAATCTAATAAACAAACAAACAAACAAATATTTTTTTTAACATACTACATATTGGGAGGGTTAGCCTTTATTCTAAATTACCCTTGGGAGCCAGGAAAATGATTGTTTGTGAGTGCAGCCTCTGAATATGACTGCTTTACTGCAGCATGAGTATAGTACTGCAACATCAAATACCATTTAGATGGAAATAATATTAAGAATGATATTAAGAATAACTGTAACAACAGCTATTAATGAGAAAAGAAAACATACCCTCACAGGACATAAAGAAAGAACCTTCTATAAACTTGTTCAGTAAAACCCAAAGTGTAACTTATGGGAGGTACCAGTAATCAATCCAGTGCTCAAAAACAGAATGAAGACACTTTTATACATTGCTTAGATAAATCTGGTTTGGATTTAACTATCAAGAAGATAAACTCTCACCGTGGAGCAATCTGAGCCAGATTTGTGCCAATCAGAGACCCATAGTCCCCTCCCTGAATATAGAATTTATGAAAGCCTAGTTTGAGCATTAACTTATAGAAGATACGGGCAGCACACATGGTATTAAAGCCTAGAAAAAGGAAAAAACAAGTAAGGCAACTTTTTTCTAAGTTCAGATACAAGCAGTCCTTGCAATTGTTATTTCACTCATATTTAAGACTGTTAACACTTTCCCCAGTAAATACTTTATCAAAACAATCAGACCTAGTTGCAATATAGCACTTCACAGGGGAATCCTTCCCTCTCTAAAATCTTGCCAGTAGACTCAACAAACTCTGTAGAAGACTTGCACGAAGCAGAATATAGAATTATAAGGACACCCCTCCTCTATTTTTTAACAAATTAATGCAAATAACAACACAGGATATTTATTGAACTGGAGGTGGGGGGCTGCTACATGTGATTGGTGGCTTGTATTGAACCTCTTAAGCAAGGGTGGTGCAGTTCACAGCATCTTGGATTTGGACAAGAGAGATGTGGTTCAAATTCCAGCTCAGTCACTACAAGACTGATTAGATGACTTTGGGCCTTCCATTTTTATTTATCACATTTTCTTTTCTTTTCTTTTTTCAGAACAACATACCTTTCTTGTGAGGAGCTTCTGAGAAGCCAAAGCCAGGAATGGAAGGGCAAACCATTTCAAAAATATGGTCACCACTCAGGCCATGGTTTACAGAGTCAGTCAAAAGAGGGATAATTTTGTACAATTCAAACACTGAGCCAGGCCAACCATGGATCATCAATAAAGGCTTAGCAGACTGCCCTTCAGACAAGTGCAAAGGTTTTATATGAAGAAAATGGACATCAATTCCTAAAGGAAGAAAACATAGACATAGAACCTTCAGAAAATAACTAAACAGATAGGTCAACGTAAGTTTTCTGAGAGCTAATAGAGTGCTAGGTTGTGCCCTATGGATTTCAAATTAGTATCTGTATTCTCAAAATGAAGTTGCAGCCTGAAGCAATGGCCTCTCACTCTCATAGGTTGCTGGAGAGCAAAAAATGTAGTTTTAGTTTCTTGAAAGAACACAGATACCAAAGTAACCAAAAAAATCCTGAAATGTAGCAAGATTTCAAAATGATGCCAATAGCTTGTATTTTTAGAAACTGAACACAAAATGAAAGTGCAACTGATGGGGGGAAAACAGGCATCTCTAACTCTGTAACATCAATGAATGAACATGCCAGAAAATCTGCCTGCTCATGTTAGAAAGTAAGGTACTAGGTCAGGTTAATTCAAGACGGTGTTTCCAAAGTAAATGTCTCTATATTCATTTATGCTAGCCGTGGCTGGCCTCAGTACCTAGCCAAAATCATAGCAGCAACATGGGTGGCCACTACTTAGGGCTACAAGATCTGGGCTGTGCAAAAATACTAGCTCAACTCATGCCATCTAGTGTTCAACTGGATGTTTGCAGCCCAGATGTGATAGTCCTACTACCCATGGATACTTGCATTAAGAATTGCTGTATGCCTGAGGGCGGAGCTGGCGTCGCGGCGATACGGCGGGCGATCCTGGGCTCCC